TTGATATTTTCAATCAATTGGAACAACACCCAACTCAAACAACTATCAAACTCAAAAAATTCTATTTTCTAAAGCAAAGTTTTAAATAACCTTCATGGTGGACTTCTACTCTTTAATTTTTTTACAGTGTAACCAGGTAACATAGGGGGAGAAACAGTAATGGCGGACGACTATATAAAAGATGTGAGAAGAAAAGAGAGTGAAAACAATGGTTGTGAGAACACAGATTTAACTCCGTAGCTTTTAGAACCAATGATTGCAAGAATGCAGATTTTGAATTTGCAAGAGTTGGTATTTTCAAAATATGTATAATATGAGCTAGGTCGGTAAAACTTAAAAATATGGACCATTTTTTGTTACGGCGTAAAGGTGTATTTTCTTGTAATTCTTTCCTGATTTAACAACCATCAAGAAATTGTCAGCGGAAAGAAGAAAAAAAGAAAACAAATAAATAGGGAAAACAAAAAAGAAAGAAAAAACAAAGCGAACAGCTCTGTTCATTTGCTCCGTCTAGGGTTTTTATATACTCCCAGTTCATTACAGAAGAGAGTTGAGGTTTCTCCAAAGCTACTTCAAGAAATTTGATACTGCCAGGTAACGATCGATCTCTCTTCTGCTTTTGTAAATGATTTTTTTGCAATTAAATCGACTTTTTGTTAATATTCTGTCAAACTTATTAAAGCAATTAACTAACTAACTAACTAACTCCTAGTAACAAATCCAGAATTTAACAGTAGCGTACCCACTTATATATGAGCTTAATTTAATACTTTTAGGGATTCTTATAATGGGTACTATTTTTTGTGATAGAAGGTTTTCTGGTAATGTACTGTTTGGTGGATGAAATTATATTGGAAAAGAACTGAAATTGAATTATTTTATAGGTATGTTCAAATGATAACTTATTTAATGAGTGACAGTATATGACTGGATTTTAACTTATCACGGCAGTAAAGAATTATAAAATGTACTGGATCATATTTGATGCAATTTGTTTTCTTTGTTTCCTTGTTCGAGCAGCTGTTTTTGTAACCTAGAGGCCTCTATATGCTGTTAATTCTTAGTATGTTTGATTTCAGCTGATTAAAACATGCATTTCTTAGAATGTCTTAGGAGTATTGTTGATTTTTTTGACTTGGCTGTCTTGTTTACTCTGATGAATAGCTCGTTGCATCCTTAAGTTTTTTTCTGGATAGGTCTTTAGAACTTATTTATCCTCCTGATAGATTGCTTTCTTCGAGGAATTTTATGATCTTGATTCCTCGAAATTGCAACATTTTTTTTTTGCATAAGGTGCTAACCTCCGTTCGTAATTTCGAGCACCTTACTTCGAAATTGCAACATATGTGATGTATGACTGATAAATAAGGGAGAAGAAGGTAGTTTAGGGTAAGCATTTGTCCAATTTTCGGGGAAAAATACCCTTCTAACCATTTCATTGGAAAGAAACTAAGAAGGTCAAGGCATCATGACTGAATAGGTGGCTGTTTTTTATTAATTCCACTCTCCTATTCTATTCCCTGCTACCTTATATATTTGCTTGTTCCGGTTTTATGTTTATTCTTTATTAAAGTTTAATAAATATTAGATAATTCAATAACATCAGTGTGTGCTCACCTAATTTGTGTAATTGGCTTCCGTATATGATTGCTGCCCTTATGTCTGAACTACTTTCACTTAATCAGCGAATGTTGTGAGTCCTTAGTATATTGTTTCGACTCCCATTTTTTGGTTTTCCTTATGCCGTTTCACATTTGAGCAAATAGAATGTGCCTTCCTCTCTCTCTCTCTCTCACACACACACACACACACACACACACACTCACTCACACTCTCGCTCTGTTGTTTCCTTCAATGAGTTTGTTGAGAATGTTAGTTGTTGCCTTGTTGGTATAGCCTGTGGCCATGGTATAAGTTTCCTTGTAGTTATTTCAAAGTATACTGTCATCTGACCTACCTTCCTGAAGATTGATGAGGTTTTCCTTTGCGCTTTCCGGTTTATCTAGATTTATGACCTTCCCTCAATGGTATAGGTTGCTTTATGCTGCAGGGCAGATTGATTTATTATTTGTTTGTCAGGTTACTGAAACTTCTAAGTATTTCCTGCAGAAATTTGAATCTTTCGGGAACCCTTCAACTGTCTTTCTTAATTTTGGGATGGGGGACGCTGAATCTCTTCAACCATCAAAGAAAAGGGCTGCTGTAAAGGAATTATCGCGAGATAATCCTGGGCTTGATGATGATAATGAGTCATCTGAGCAGGAGAGTGGAACTTTCAAGAGAGCAAGTGATGAGGTGATGGCAAGTAGGAGAATTGTCAAAGTCCGTAAAACGCCATCGACTACAACTACTCCGTCTTCTAACCCTTTTGCGGGGATTCGATTTGTTCCACTTACTGATGCCAGTACAACTCCTGCTGTGACCACAACTGAAGCTGGGAGTGGGGCAACAACTTCCAAGAAATCAGAAGAATCAAATGATCAAAGTGAGGCAACTAAAGAGGAAGAAACTTATGTGAATAGGGAAGCTGATCATGAGAAGGAAACTGATGGAAAGTCTAAGCTACCAGAAAACAGATCTGATGAGTCCAAAGCTGACGAAAATGTTGATAAGGAGAAAGTTGATAATCCCAATGAGCCTAACATACCTGAATCTACTGAAAAGAAGGCAGCGGAAAGTGAGAAAATTGAAGATGATACCAAGGCAGCGACAGTAGTGGAAAAGACTGCAAATGACGTAGAAGTGGAAGGCAATAAGACCGAGAATGAAGAGGAAAAACATGTGGGCGATGGAGAAAATCAAAAGGGTGCTGAAACTGCATCTTTTAGCTCGTTCCAACAGCTCTCCAGTAGCCAAAATGCTTTCACAGGACTTGCAGGAACTGGGTTCTCCAATACTACGTTCTCGTTTGGAGCTAGTTCGAAAGAGGGATCTCCACTAGGACCTGGCTCTCTCTTTGGAGTAAAAAGTGACCAGTCACCTTTTGGTCTTAATCTTTCCACTAATGGAAATGCTTCTCTGTTTGGTAACTCTGGGTCATCCAGTGTTAACAAGGGCGAGGGAATTGGAATTCCTTCCATGCAAGAGGTTCCTGTTGAAACAGGGGAGGAAAACGAAAAGGCTATCTTTACCGCTGACTCTGCGCTGTTTGAATTTCTTAATGGAGGGTGGAAGGAGCGCGGGAAGGGAGAGCTGAAGGTCAATATTTCTTCAACTGAGACTGGAAAAGCTAGACTTGTTATGAGAACCAGAGGAAATTACAGGTTGATTTTGAATGCTAACCTTTATCCTGAAATGAAGCTCACAAATATGGATAAAAAGGGTATCACTTTTGCTTGTATGAATAGTGCTGGCGACGGCAAAGATGGACTTTCTACTATTGCTTTGAAGTTCAAAGACGCCTCTATAGTCGAGGAGTTTCGAGCTGCTGTGTTGCAGTATAAAGATAAGATGGCAGGCTCTTTGAAGACACCACAAAATTCACCTTAAACTTCATTATGTCTAATGATTATAGCAAAGATGCATAGAGATTCTATTTTCATCACGGAACCCACACTACATTTGTCCCTTTTTCCTCCCTTTGCAGAGGTAAAAAGCCAAGGTAGAGAGAATATTTTGTCTAGAGATGGATAACTTGTAATCCGATATAGCAAATAGAGTCTTCTCCATTATGTTGTTTATCTCTTGTATTTCTTCTCCTTTTTTGCTTTGTTTGGATATAACCTGTGGTTTCGCTGTCTTTTGCATTGGTTTGAATCGTAGACGCGCCGCTCTAGCCTTCGATCTCATGCTATCATTTTCCGATGTATTTAGTTTCTTTTTTTCCTTTTATTGGGTAAAGTTGCAAGTTTGTAACTCATCGACAACCTCGTAGAAAATTTTCCTATGGTATGCTCCTTTTTTCTTTTCTTTTTTTGGTTTTGCACGCGGTCTTTGGCACCCTCTTTGGGCCTCGATTAATCCGAATTCGCTGGATAAGGCCTAATATTGTGGAAACGCTCCCTACATGAGTTGTTTCCTTTTTAGGGCTCGAATTAAAGGAACTCTAATAAAGGGTCGAGGGATCATGTCCATCCTACCACACCTTGATGGTTATGATTTTCTCCTTGAAGTCGCAAGTTCCGCATCGAAAGGTGTGACTAAGTGATCAATAAAGTAGATTGAGAATCTAAGGTTTCATGTTCAAATCCCAGCGGAGATAATAACACTAGATTAACCTCTTTACTCTAAAGAGGTTATTGTAATATAAAATGTTCTTGACTTGTGTTTGTTGTGCTAAACTTGCTTAATTTGGTCTTCAATGCCTAGCTTTATTTTGATGATGAGGAGTGGATCTGCCTAAACAGGTCTGTCCACAAAATCCTTAAGAAAATAAATATATCCTTTACTAATTATTTAAAAGTGTCTTGAGGGAAAGGTTGGTTCCCTTCACGTGCTATCGTTTGCTCTTTGGCCTTTGGCATTTCTTTGTTCACGGGGCATGCCAAGACAACGAAAAATACTTGAAATTAATAGGACGAGATACATTGTCCTGCCGCATTTCAGCAAATTAACCAATTATAAACTGAGCTTCACGCAATTCAATAAAAACAGACTATCATATGTGGTTTGTTAATTGACAAAAACTGATATTGCCTTTGATTTTCAGTAGCTTTTTTCAATAAAGTAACATTTGCTATTAACACAATTGAGGCTGTGACATTACAGAAATGTACTTATTGATCATTGGTTTATCCTTTAAAGAATTCCGTGATTAACTGTTAGCTGGTCAAAACTCAAAAAAATCACCAAATCTGAAATTTACAGAAATATCAGGGAAAGCATAAGCGAATCCAGTATTTAAATTCTATAAGTTTAACTTTTAAGGTTTTAACGTATAACCCATTATATTTTTAAAGTTATGGGTCCATATATTTTTGCAATTTTAACAAGTTTTTATATATAAAGTTTTACTCCGCATTGAAAGTTATGAGTTCGATCGAACCCGTCATTACCACACAAATTCAGAAACACACAGTTGTGAATTACTTTCCCATACTGGAAAACAAGATAATAAAAGAAACAAAAAAGAAAAATGGGAACTGCAAAAAGACAAAAAAAAGAAAAGCTAAGGAAAAACGAAGAGGATAATAAAGTCCCATAAAAATATAAAATACTCCAGACAGTAGCAGTGCCACTTCTAAGGTGAGGAGTAGTTCCTTGTGCACATTCTTGAGCAGGATCCAACACAGTCATCCATTTTTCCTCCATCTAAAAAGAAAGAATAACGAGAAAAATGAATTAGAAAAACAAACATACCAAGAGAAAAATACAAGCAAATAAAAAAAACAGCCAGGTGCACTAAGCTCCCGCTATGTACGGGGTCCGGGCAAGGGTGGGCAGCCCGGCACGAAGCTCCCGCTATGTTCGGCGTCGGGGAAGGGGCGAACCACAAAGGTGGGCAGCCCGGTGCACTAAGCTCCCGCTATGTACGGGGTCCGGGCAAGGGTGGGCAGCCCGGCACGAAGCTCCCGCTATGTTCGGCGTCGGGGAAGGGGCGAACCACAAAGGTGGGCAGCCCGGTGCACTAAGCTCCCGCTATGCACGAGGTCGGAAAGGGCCGGACCACAAGGTTGCGCAGCCCGATGCACTAAGCTTCCGCTATGCGCGGGGTCGGGGAAGAGCCGAACCACAAGAGTCTATTGTACGCAGCCTTATCCTACATTTCTATAAGAAGCTGTTTTCACGACTTGAACCCGTGACTTCCCGGCAGAAAAATACAAGCAAAAACAGAATAAAAAATACTTATGACCATAGGGAGGCTAGCTGCAGAGGGAAACTTACTAGGTTGATGTTTTGAGCTGAGAGTAGAACAGGTAGAGAAGGCACAACCTAGCTTGCAGAAGTTAAGGTTTTTACTGTCTGGTTGAAGTCGAACATCATTGTTTGAACTGGCTGTGACAGTAGAAGTACTACTACTATTATCAGAACCTGAATTAAAGATGCATTCTTTTAAGCATCTAGAAGTGCAAGTGCAGAGATTTTGAGAAGGTTCAATTAAGCAGAATACAAAGCATTTTGAGTAGCAATCCTTAAAGTTAGTTAAGGAGGCATTTGACTGGTCTACAAAAACAACTAATATCAAAATAAGTGCCCTTAACTTAGTTAACTCCATCCTTTCTTTCACTCTTTTTTCAGAACACAAAACTTCTTGCCCTATGGAAAACCTAAAAGTGTGCTTATATAGAACTGTAATAGCCAGTATTCACAAGTGGCAAACATATATACATATTTATAATATTGCCTTAGTAGTTCAACGATTGTGGTATTTGGTGTTGGCTAAAGTTGCGGTGACATGTGATAGATTTTTGTCTTTGCTGTTGCTGTGGAGCCTTGGCGTAACTGGTAAAGTTGCTTTCATGTGACCAGGAAGGTCACGGGTTCAAGCTTGTAAACAGCCTCTTACAGAAATGCAAGATAAGATTACGTACAATACACCCTTGTAATCCTGTCCTTCTCCGGACTCCGCCCATAGCAAAAACTTAGTGCACCGGACTGCCTTTTGCTATTGCTATCTTTATATAGGACTATAAGAGTAAGGTGGTTAACAAGGACAAAGGATGAGGAAGTACAATTATATTTTTTCCTTATTCTAATACCATTTACTCTCTCCGTTCAAATTTAGACGACAAACTTTCTTTATTAGCTCGTTCAAAAAAAATGATATATTTCTACAATTGGAAATAATTCAATTTTAAACTTTTTATTTTACCCTTAATGAGAAGATGTTATAACCCCACAAATATTATGGGCCCACAAAACTTTTACCCCTTAAGCTTTTAAGCTCATAAATTTCAAATGTCTTTCTCTTTTTTCTAAAACGTTATGCCGAGACAAACTACTTTATCTAAATTGAAATGGAGGGAGTATTAGAGAAAAAGAACAAACTGGTCCTCCGACCTCGCTTAAAAACTTACTTACATTTGATTTTTCACCAAATTAGCAATGACTAAGTGATAAATTAAAGTGATGCTGTGTACTATTTAGCTATAGTCCAATGATGATAATATAGGGTAATTGGGGTGTCATGATATGGCATCTATTACTGCAAAGTGCTAAGGTGGCTCAGCTAATACTCTTGAAGTATCCTTATATATGCAGCTAGTGCAGAGGTGGAATATTAACTAGTTTGATAGTTGTTTTACCAAAAGATATTGAAACCTTTTTGATTAAATCAATTAATAAAGATGAAGAAGTAAATCTTAGGCAAGTATAATTAAATTTGGATAAAATGATACAAGAGAAAAAAAACAAGACGAATGATGCTTCCTCATATGTTGGAACCAAATGACTACTCATAAATATGAGTAACTTCAAAAGTAGAAGAATCTAGCAATGAATACAATTGACCGAGATAAAGGATGATGTACGGATTTCAGATCTGTAGTAAGCAAAGTTGTCTTTTTCGTATTCACTTTTCGATCCCCCTTTTACAAAGTCTTCCCCCTCTATTTATAAGGGACAATCCCCTCTTGAACCCTAAAAAGGTACAACATAAAGAATATTCGAAAAACATATTCCTATTGTCTCCTACTACGCCTACACTATTGCAAATGTTGTGCGTTCGCTAACTGTTGTCGGTCGTCACCCTTTACAACGACCAAAGGACGTTGCGTCGTAAGGGCCTCATCCTTCGCCGTACTCAGTAGTGGTCATGGTCGTCCAAATTTGGACCTATACAGTTAGTCCCTCCACTTGTCGAGGTTGCGGCTCGGTGCGTCCTTGATAAGCGGACATCGCCCATACCTGCGGAAAAATTTGGCTTACGAATCGTAATGGTTTGGCCAACAACGGAAGGGTAATGTGCTTCACGATATCCTGGGTGGAGTGTCTTATTGGGAAATGACGTCACTTCCACGTGCATCATTATTACGCGCCTTTCCGAGACAGAGACTGATAGTTTGTCGCTTCGATTTTGGTGCCATTGGCAACCTTCCGCTTCGATTATGGCTCTACCTAACCCTATAAATAGGTGAAGGGTCTGTTTTTTCAAAAACTCTTGGCCAGTCTGTTTTTCAAAAACTCTTGGCCATTTCTTCTTTGGTTATTCCTTCTCATATCTTCAGCTTTTGCTCTTGCGATTTCTTTGCTTTCCCTCTTCCGTTCGCTGTTCTTGGGCTTTTATGTTTTATAAACACATCTTCTTCCATAGATATTCCTAGAAAACATCGATCTCGTAAGGGGATTTCTGATGCCACCCCGTTATCCATGGTGCTCCCTTACGGTGGTGAGGACATGACGGTGGAGGAAGGGGATAGTTTTCCCACCGTGGACGAGTTACTGCCGAGACACCCCATGTCTCGAAGCGACTTTATTAAAGAACTTTCTCCTACTCCCGCTTTGGTAGTATCTGAAACTGAGCAGGCCCATATAGATGCCCTCCGCACTAAATACAACATCCCCCCTCATGTCGAGATAGTTCCGGCGGAGAGGGACTTCGTAGAGGTCCATAGACCGGGGTATTGTGCTTTTTATGAATACCCTTTTGTGATTGGTCATTCCCTCCCTCTTCTCCCCTTAGCAGAGGAATTTTGTCAGTTTTATAAGGTTTTCCCGGCGCAGCTTTCTCCTAACACATACAGAATATTCTTGGTGTTGACAAAGTATGTGGAGTTGGCGGGGTGCGAAGTTGACATTCACCACCTCTTGCACTTGTTTTCCCCTAGTTCTCACAGGTGTACTATGGTACATTTGAGGCACCGTGGAACCAAAGGGCTGGCGGTCGGAACTGACGACCGGGCGAGCCATAACTTTTGGCATAAGTATTTCTTTGTCAGAACTGAACACATTGTGTCGGATCCTGCTGGCTTCCCAGAGCAGTGGAATAATAATCGTAGGTGTCGTAACCCGTTTACTCCTTCTTTTTTGTTTATTGTTCGACTTGATATTTATCTGCAGCTTTCTTTTGCAGCTGTGAGGTGTACACCCGTCCTATTGCCGGTATAAGGGACTGGGTAGCCTGTTTACTTCTTCACGCAGTGGAGACTCGAGACTAGCCCGCTTTTGTCAAACGTTTTAGGCCGAAGGTCTCATCTGGTAAGTGTTTTCCTCTACATTGTTTTCGGCTGTTTGCCATTATTTATTGATACGACTCTTTGTGATGATAGGCCGTGGAGCTTCTAGGCGGAGGGCCCAGTCCCTGCATTTTACCAGGCTATCGCCTCAGTGGGAATGAAATTTACTTTGGAGGAGTCCATTTGAGAGGGTCCTGCTCAGCTGGTACAGGCGAGAGACTCCTCTCGGGATATGGTTGTGAGGGAAGAGATTTCCTCTTTACCGATCTATCACCTCTTGGATGAGTATTCTAACGGGGACGATCCTTCGTTGAGAAAAAAGAGGAGGGTAGAGCTCGGAAAAGACGTAGCCGTTGATACTGGTAAGAGTAGGATGGGTGCATCGGAGATGGTACATGTGCCCGCATTTATGGCAGACGCTATTTTGGTGGGGAAGTCTCCCCGGGCAGAAGGAATCTACCAAGGAACGGGGTATGTACGCTCCGCTGAGGGCGGCACATCATCTACTGTCGGAGGGGGCTTACGCACCGAGGGTGATAGCTCGGGTTCGGACGTCAAACCAGGGGATGTTCGAGATTTTTTGAGCGTCACACTCGCGTAGAGGTTAGAACGGAGGGTTCTGATCGACACATAGTCGTTCCCGGGGACTACGACTTGTTGTCGAACTGTTGCGTCTGTTTTTGCCCCTTTATGTGCTGCTCCTGAGAGCAAGGCACTTAGAGCGATGACTGATGCAGAGTTGTCGCGGAGCATTTCTGGCATGGCTCTGCGGGTAAACGTCTTTCTTTTCTTTTCGTCGTTGGATCTGTTTTACTATTCTTGGCCCATCTTTTTGTTTTAACTTTGTTTTTCATATTAGACCCTCATCATGGAGATCGAGCGTGAGCATCAGGAAAGGAGGAGGACAACTGTCTATGGAAATATGTCTTCTAAGTATCAAGAATATCGCACCAACTCAGAATTGCGACTTCCAACTGTTCCGCGATGGGTTCAAGCAAAGGGAGGATCAATTGGCATGTAAGGTCGAGGAATTGAAAGAGCGAGACGAGGACCTTATGAAGGCCATTGCCTGTTGTAGTGAGCTTGAGGCGGCCCTTAAGGTCAAGGAAGATGAGCTTGAGCAAAATAAGGGAGTGATGGCCGAAAATGCCGACCTCCAAGCAAAGGTGGCCAGTTTAACTGCCGAACTAGATATGAAGGCGGCGGAGGTCGTTTACCTTAAGAGTGAATTGAGCGCAAATGTTGATGGATTGGCCCTCGCCGAAAGGGAGAGGGCGACTGCCGTCTCTGAGGCAGAGGCTTTAGGAGACGCCCTCTGTGTTTGTAGATTGGAGCAGGATAAGGATATGGAGGCATCCGCGCTTAAGGTAGCGGGACTTGAGAGTCGTATTCACGATTTGAAGACGGAATTGTCCGCGTTGAATGAACAAGTGGCTTCCTTGAAAACGGAGGGCATGAGACATCAGTCGCGGCCCTCTACATCGCATGCTTTGGATGATCATGTCATGCCTCGTCATTTGTATGAGTTGTGGGTTCACACTGAAGCCCGGCTCGATGTGTATAAGGCTCTTTATACCGACGGGAGGGCGTCTGAGACAGAGCTTCGGGATGTGCGTGCCAAGGCCCGTGCAGCTCGTAAGGCATACGGATATGACCCCATCATGCCTGGCGGGGATGATATTAATTCTGATGATGCGGACAAACTTGCTTCCGACTCTTGGTACGAGGAGGTGTATACCACAGGGAATGATGTGGCTTAGTATTCAGTTGTATTTACTTTTGCTTTGCCATTTTTGTGAGGGAATCTTTGAGCCCTTTGTAAAAACAAGTACTTGTAATATATTTGCTGAAATGAAAATTCTTTTGGTCGTGTACCTCTAAGTTGTTGTTTCCCTTTTTTTTAATGGTTTATTCGTCGATGACTTTTGCCGCAGTCATGTTATTATAAATCTTCATTGAAATGTTAAACCCATTGTGTTGTGATTTTAATTGAACTCTTTTCGTTAGCAACGACCTTGGTCATAGGGATGTTACTTTCAAGCTGGCGCCGATGTAGTATCCCATCGTAGTTTACCAATGTCGAACTCTTTTCTTTTGGCGATGGCCTTAGCCATTGGGATATTACTTTTGAGCTGGTGCCGAAGTAGTATCCCGTTGTGGTTCGAGTGAAATAGA